TTCGATGCTTTGACCGAGACATTCCCTTGTCCAAACTTGCGGAAGAAAAAGGTGTGACAACTGCTTCGCTTTGGCGCTGTGTTTTTCTGTTCGTGCAATCGCAAATGAGGAACGTAGTAAGCTAATAGGATGGTGGCTCAAGTTTGGAACTTAAGAACTTGATAAATCTAAACCATCAAGTTATATAAGTTTTTTGGATGCTGGTTTAGCAATGTGTAAGAAATTGCCTTATGATAATTTCAAATGGCACTACAACAAAATTGATGAACAGAAAATATTGAATTACACCGATGATGATGAAAGAGGTTATATTATGGAAGTTGATTTCAATATCCAAAAGAAATTCACGACTTACACAAGGACTACCCATTAGCGCATGAAATTATGAATATTATTGAGAATATGCTTTCTCAAGTTCGAAAGGATATTCATAAATACTGTCATGGAAAAGAAGCAACTGACGAGAAAACAAACAAATTAGTATTAAATGTTCTGGATAAAAAGAAATTTGTATTACACATATCCGGGTTTAAATTCTATCTACAACACGGCTTGAAACTAAAGAAAGTCAATAGAGCAATAAGTTTCAAACAAGCACACTTCTTAAAACCTTTCATTGAATTCAACACTGACAAAAGAAAACAAGCAAACAATGATTTTGAAAAGGCCTTGTTTAAATTAATGAACAATCCTGTTTATGGCAAAACTATGGAACATATTAGAAAACACGGTGATTTTGAGTTGGTTAATGCCGCTGAACGCTTCCAAAAACTCGTAAATAGACCAACATACAAACACCGACGCAGTATAAATGATGAACTTGTAATAGTTGAAAAGGATAAACAAACAATAGAGTTAAACAAACCTGTCTATATGGGTATGTCCATTTTAGACTATTCTAAAATTCACATGTATTCGTTTTACTATGATGTTTTGAAACCAAAATATCAAGATAATATTAAGTTGGTCTTTACTGACATTGATAGTTATGTAATACAGGTTGATACTGATGATTTATACAGAGACTTCAAAGAAATAAATGGATATATGGATTTTAGTGATTACAATGTTGAACATCCTAACTATGATACATCAAACAAAAAGGTATTAGGCAAGTTTAAGGATGAAATGAACGGTACAATAATAACTAACTTCATAGGATTGAAACCAAAGGCTTATTGCTACAAAGTGTATGGAGACGACAGTTAACATAAGAAAAGTAAAGGTGTAGTAAAGCATAAAGTTAGTAATCAATTAAGTTATAAAACTTATGAAGATACATTGAACAGAATATTAAAAGAAGAAGTCCAGTTCAACACCATACGAAGTAAGAACCATCAAATATACAGCATAAACCAAACAAAATATGCTTTAAGCAACTATGACAACAAGCGCCTATGGATTTCAGACACAGAAAGCCTACCGTATGGTCATTATCTAACATCTCTATATAAAGAAAAGATGACTTAAGCTAAATATAGATATGAATAGATATGAAAAAGGACAAATTTACAAAATAGCCAGTCCTGACTTTGAGAAATGGTACATTGGCTCAACATGTGAAAAATTGAGTATGAGAATGGTAAGACACAGACATCAATACAACTCACATAATAAGGGAAAGCACGGAAGGAATACATCATTTGATATATTTGATGAATACGGTATAGATAATTGTAAAATTATTTGGATTGACGATTACCTTTGATATATTTGATGAATACGGTATAGATAATTGTAAAGTTATTTGGATTGACGATTACCCCTGTAATAACAAAAAGGAATTGGAAGCAAGAGAAGGATATTACATTGAGAACACTAAATGTATCAACAAAATTATTGTTGGAAGAACGCCGGAAAGGTATAGAAAGGAAAACAAACAAAGAAAAAAGGAAACAAACAAAATCTATAGAGAAAATCATACAGTCAAATTGAAGGCAAAAAGAGAAGGAAAGAAAGATTACTACACTGAATACAATAAAGGTTGGAAAGAAAACAATAAAGAACATATAAGTGAATACAACAAACAATACAGAGACAAAAACAAGGAACAAATAGCAGAAAACACTGTGTGTGATAACTGTGGTTCAACTGTCAAAAAATATATATAACCTTAAAACAAATCAGCAAACTAAAAAATGTCAATCATTTACAAGTAGCAGCAGTTCATGACGGTGGTATTTTTTGCTTAGTCCATCCAGTTTATAATAGGTATTGTTCAGCATGTCTCGGCCTTTGAGTATTACTTAATATTTTTTATCAGTCCATTGACTTTTCGTTTCTTTTCTTGCAGTGTAGTTGCCTTTGCCGTTATCAAACACTTTAACATAATCTCCCTCCCCAATGTTTGGGTATTTCCTACTATGTTTTTCTTTTAAAACAAGATTAGACTTTACTTCAAGCCCATTTTTAAGGTCGTGCGCTTTGTTAGGGCTCATTTTAGTTGAACTATGAACTTGAGTATTGTATCTATTTAGTGATGGTTTTAACATATCTACCCAAGTCTTATCTTTATTTGCTTTTAGCCTATCAGCAACCATCTTTTTAATTGTCCTTATCATTCTCTCAGCCTGATTAGCGTGTGTTTTTGTATGTTTTTGTTATTATGTGTTCTATCCCTTCTCCTTTAAAATAGGCTTGTAATTTCTTACTGTTTAATGCTCCTTCGTCATCAGAATAGACTGATAATGGCTGACCTAATACCTTGAAACACTCCATTACAGCATCATAAACATCATCAGTGTCGTTATTTTCCATTGGCACTATATGACATTTTTTACTGAAAATGTCTATACATACCAAGCCAAAGGTAGGTTGATTTTTTATTTCATTTTTAACATTCCTCAACAGACTTGTCATAATCATCAAATCGATTTGAAATTCATATTTAGGATAAGGGGCAGTATAAGAATTGTAATTCTTGTAGTTTCTTGTTTGTTTGTTTGGTTGAGATTTCATCCACTGTGAAACCATATCCAAAGTTATGCCTACATCGACTTTCCTAGCCTTTCGTACAAGTCCCTCACCGAACCGAAGCCCTCCTCCACGTCGTAATTTTTTTTTTTTCCAATACCTTTTCTTTTTCCAATCTCGTCATTAAAAAATACTTAAATTATAGTTTTATGATATTTTCTTGTATCATAAAATCCTAATGAACTTACACTAGACACCTTTGGCACTTTTTGGTTTTCTTGTGCTTTGCCAAGTTTGACCTGCAGCTCATGGCAGAGCCGCATATATCGCATACGCACGGTTGTTTCGTTTTCTCTTGGTAATATCTTTATCAAATACGTTTCGCCCTTCAGTTCTCTGTTGTAATATCCGTCGTCCTGCTTTCTCCATTCAGCATTGGTGTTCTTGTTAATGGATGAGTTGGCTTTGTAGCTTTCTTCCGATGAAGATGTTTCGCTGTCAGTCAGTTCTTTGTTGCCAAAGCCGTTCCAAATAAAGTCAAAGGTTTGATTTGTCATCGGGATTTCAACTCCGTTGCTTACAAAGTAACAAGGCATATTGTGTATATAGTTAGTTATATATATGCATGTTTGTTTAAGTGTTTTTACTCAATGGGAACTATGTATATTCAGTTTGTGCTTGTGGCATCTCATACTATACAAGTCCTTAACACAAACCCCAAGACAATTTCGACATCAAAGTTTATAGGTTTCAGCAGTTTACCCTTCTACCGGTTGACCCATTTTTAGAGACACCCACCTTTAAATCCCTGAATCCAAACCCAAACATGCTTAGCGTTCAAAACAGTGAAACTTGACCTTTGTCCAAGCCAATCCAAAAACCTAACCAATTTTTCCCCCAAACTGCGCCGTTTTTCACCAAAACGGAGCCACTTTGTCCCAAAAACGGAGCATGTTCATCCCAAAAACGGAGCATGTTTTTCGCAAAAACGGAGCTTCACAAAACCGGTGGCAGATTTTTCCAAAGTCGGTGGCAGATTTTTTCCAAAGCCGGATTTCTTCAAAGTCGGTGGCAGATTTTCCCAAAGCCGGTGGCAGATTTTCCCAAAGTCGGTGGCAGATTTTTCCAAAGTCGGTGACGGATTTCCTCAAAGTCGGTGGCAGATGTTCCCAACAAAGTCGGTGGCAGTTTTGCCCAAAATCAGTGTCACATTTTTCAAAATCAGTGACAGATTTTCCCAAGAACCGAGCCAGTTCTTCCCAAACACGGAGCCCCTTTTCGCAAACGGACTCAATTTCCCTAAATCCGAACCAGATTTTTACCGAAACCTCTGCATGCTTTTCCCAAGCCAAATATTCAAACCCAAATCGACACGGAAAGTGCTCAAGCGCCAAAGCAAAACCAGTTGATGCGAGACGGAAGTGTTCAGATCATCACCCAAAGGCATTTGTTTTATCTACAAACAAGTTTTTGACATTGAGTTTGATCTGAAAGGTCTTGGGCTAAGTTTCATGGAAAGGTGAAGCCAGTTCCATGACTTTGAAATAAAATACAATATGACATCAAGCAGGATACTCTTATGCGGCAAGTCAAGCATGCTAGTTCCTCAAGACAACAGCATACATATGATTGTTTGTGCAGATCCTTTGCAAACTACCCTGCTGCTGCAAATGTTCATGATGTGCGGCGGACATATAAAACCAGACAAACCACCAAGAACGGCAAGCTTGTTGTGAGCGGTGCAATGATGCCAGCTCACGGAAGAAGAGAAACACCACCGAACAAAACATGTGTGTTTCTGAAACCTGAATATTCCAGCACCCTTCAAATTGCTATCAAACTTGTTTAGTGTTTGACTCTCAACTGCTGGACAAACAGTCACAGCAGTTTTGTGGGACTAGCATGGCTTGCATGAGGCTAATCTTGTTGTGGCATGCAGTTGCTCGTGCACAGCATTTGTCCCTTGGCTGTAGCATGATCGCAGCAAATATATCGCTGGCATTCAGCAAACGAAAGAACCAGGCTTCAGTCCTAGCTGTCGGACTAGCTCAACACAACCTGTGAGAGCGCCCCGTTTGTTTTTTAGATTGTTTAATCTTTAGAAATCTGTCTGAACCATGTCCCGTCCGAGAAGCCGAGCAATGGTTGCCTTGGTTTTGACTCTCACTGCGACCTCGCATTTCTTCAATCTTCGTTGTTTTGTTCGGCCTGGCGCTCGATACACGACACACCCAGCAGGTCGTAGCCATGTGCGCTACGCTTTTCCTGGAGGAGAGAGCGTAGCAGCAGCTATCGCCACTGGCTTTGAAGCGGTGGAGAACTTCAACAAAATGGGGCAGTCCGCTGATTTGATTCAAAAGTGGTCGTCAGTGATGCCCGGAGCAGAGTTGAAGCTCGAGGTCGACAAAAGCACCGACGATAATATCGTCTTGAAGCATGTGGAAAAACTTTGCGAAGAGATCGCGCTTGCCGTAGACAACCACAAAACAATTTCAGTCCTGGGGATTAGTTCTCAGCGGCAAGCCAATCTGGGTACGAGGGTAGTAGATGATACTCCATTCCAGAAGCTGATGACAAAAGTTCTGGCCGTCAATCGATCAGGGTGCACAGCTGTGCATGCTGAGCCTGGGATGGGCAAGTCCATCGCATCATTGAGGGCACTGCCAGCTGGCAGAGTGTCCAAGAATTACACAGTGCTGCTTGATGGTGGCTTTCGCGCGGAAATGATGAGATTCTTCAGGGTCAGCAGCTTCGAATTGGTTGTTAGCGTTGCCCGCATGGTTTTTCCAGCCCTCACGCAAGCTGGTGTAAGCATGAACATGATTTTTGATAACGGCGTCGAAGACGATGAAGACTTCCACAAGTCGAGGGCTGAATGGATTTTTTTGCTGAAAGCAGCCTACGAGTCCAGAAGCCTTAGCAATGAAGATTGGTAGTCTGAATGGTGAGAGATCGCGAGTATCTGCAGAACAAGAAACGCCAGAAAAATACAGGTGGGCGAAGGAACAGGCACGTGAATACCTCGGCTATTTGTTGGAAGCTCGAAACATCCCACCTGAAGCAGTCGGTGTGGAGAAGTTTCTTTCAAGCTGCTCGATACCAGATGTTTATGGGGGATGGAAGCCAATAGCAATGAGCAACTACTTGGACTTCAACGAAACGCCAGAGGTACCGCGTGCCTTGGCACAAGCGGGAAGACTCCTACCTGTCTTCTGTGAACATTTTTGCGAATCTATGTATTGGTTCTTGCTGTTCATGCTGGATGGGTAGAGGGCATTACAGCATTCGAGTTGTCTAAACTAAAAGATCCTGTGCAAAAAAGCTTTGCCCGTTTCATTCAATTTCTAAGTTTGAATAGCACAAATCTTGTGTGTCGGTAACTGACTACCAAACAACAAATCACTACTCTTTTCAAATAGCATGGGTTTACATCGACGCACGCATTCAATGAGCATTTCCACATGACGACCATGCTTCATTTGTTGAAGATTTGTAGATTTCTTTAGTTGAGTTTTCTCTGGAGTTCTGAAGTAAGAGCTTGCAAAGTAGACCCAACTTGTCATTTTCATGCCCTGCAAGGTACAACCTCTCCAACCCAGAACAGAGCCGTTTGGGTGAGGCAATTGCAGCAGGACTGACAAGAGTTGCACACACACTTGTACACAGCTCATCTGAAGATTTTTTGTAAATGCTCGTTCTCGGCTTAGGACAATCGATTCGTGGCAGGAGTACCGCCCCGGCATTTGAAGGGCTTGATCCTTGATCTTTGGACTTGGCTGGGAGTGTAATAATACTCTAAGCCATTCAGAGAGCGCTGGAGAGAAGGAAAGATTCCGATAGTGTGGATTTTCTTCTGGAACCGCATTCAGAAGTATGAAGAAGTTTGAACTTCAGCAGTTTTTCATGTCCAGGAATTGTCTTGTGTGGCTTCCACTTCTCTGCGTTTCCTTTTCTTCTTTTGCTTTCTTTAGTGGATTGCACAGGGATTGGAATGGAGAAGCCAGGGATCGAGATGAGGTGGAAGATTTGAAAGATCAGGGGTTGAGAGCAGTTTGCGTCCAGATGTCAAACAGTAGCATGGAGGGTTTGCTAACTAAAGGGTTGCACATCTAGCTTCCTTTCTGCGCAGTTCATTTGATGTCATGTCCACGTGATTGGATGCAGTCGCTTGTAACTAGCAGGGTTGTGTCTCAAGAAGTGCAGTGAGAACAGTAAGAAGGTTTTGGCAACTAGAGGGTTGACTCTAGATTCCTTGTGCTTGCTGTTGAGTTGAGCTTTTGTGCACTTTTGTCTTGGCAGGAACTTTCACAAGGCTCGTTTGTCGTTTTGACCTGTCAGGTATCCTCTTGAAAGCTTCTGGCTTTCAAGATCCCGATGATGAAAAGAGCAAGAGCGAGGAGTCAACCCTGTGAGACTCCTAAAGCCTTGCCTTCTGAGGGATCTTGACCAGTTGAACTTGTTGTCTTGCTTGGTTGAACCTTGGTTGATTGGGTTGAGGCTTGCTTGAAGCTTTTGCGCTTCCGTGTTTTCACAAACTTACGCAAGCTGTAGGCCGCTCTGCGATCAGCGAAAGGCTTCCTTACACTCGGCCAGTTTGCGACCTCGTGGGAAGACCCAGGGCTCGGCTTGCAAACCTCTCTTCACTTGCCAACTCAATTGCCTGATGCCGCCAACGAGGATGGGCACAACATCTGGCTTCTTTCCTGTTGATCAAGCCGAAGACAAAGCCAAGAGCAAGGGCAAGGCTGCTCCATCTGGGTGTTTTGTAAGTCCGCGCTAAGGTCAACTGCCCGGATTGGGAAGGGCTCCGCTTCTATCGAACCTCGTCGAAGGGCAAGAGCAAGACTGCCAAGGGTCCGGCAAGGGCAAGATCAAGCAGAAGAAGGGCAAGAGCAAGGAGAAGGGCAAATCCGACCAGCCGAAAGGAATGGTGAGCGTGAATGGTATCTAGTCAACCTTCTCCTAAAAGTGGGCCAACTCCCGCGGGAATCGTCGTTTGCGGTGCCAACCGGAACGTCAGCCGCCTCCCAACTCATTTGTCGGCTTTCTGCTCACGTAGCATTGCGAGCCGGAAGGTTTGCCGCATCCATTTTGGCTGGCACTCCAAGTGCACAAAGTAATTCACGGCATGTGGCACCTTTGCACCATGTTTGGAGTGGTAAAGCTCCCGGTGTAGGTGGCCTGAGCCGTTCAGTTTGTTTTTGCAGCCGCCCGCTTTGAGCTTGAAACGATTTGAGCCTTGATCCGCATCATTCTCCACTTCGATGCGTTAGTAGGTCAGGTCGATCCGGGCTGATCTACTGCCTCTTCGGTGCAGCCCGTGATCGGGCCGTGCCGCGGGGGGTATTTTTCACTAGTCGTGTGCGCGCACTCGACCATAACGCATCACAGTTGGCCCAAAGAAAAAGGTGTATGTTGTTGTCTGTGGGATGATTGGTTATTGCTTTAAATGAACATTCTTTTTGATGCGACATTAATTTTTACATACTTATACATAATATATATATATATTATATTTCCTTGCTTTGATAGCCCTGGCCCTTCCTCCCTGGAATCGGTACCCACCAACTCATCATTGAGAGGGGAAGCAAGCTTTTAGGGCGTGGCGTCTGGTGATGGAGGTTGCTTTTGTGAGGGATCCTTTGGCCTACCCTCCTGAGTGGCATCGATGTTGTCAGCGTCTCTGTCTTTCAAGTGGGCGAGGCCACTGAGGAAACGAGTGGTGACAAGTAGCCGCAACAGTAGTTACTACTGTGGCGATACTCGTGGGGCGATCGCGCCTGTGGAAAGTCTGGGACGATGTGCCAAGGGATGATCCTTTCTTGTCTCACGAGTATTGCCCCGAAGGCATTGACACATTTCTGAGACAGTAAAGTTTGTTTGGATGCCGTGTGTCCGCCTTTGACCATCATGAGAAGTGCCAACATTGCCATCAAAAGCCAATACATGGCGTTTTTTGCTGCATTGCACCTTGAATGATAGGGCACAGTGCCGTGGAAAAACAATGGTTTTGTCCAGTATGAAAGGTAAAGGTTGCTTCTGGGATTGGCACACTTTTGTCAATCTTGCACTAAGCTAACATCGTCAGAAATGGGACAAATGAGGGCATCCAGTACGAATTCCTGGAATGTCGTCATTGAAGAGCGCGTTTGCACTTGTCACTTGTTTGGGAAAATTGATTTTGAGTGAATTTGCACATTGACGACGTGCGTTTACAGTGCTTTCACCACCACTCCGTATCTTGCCTTCTAGAAGGCAATCAACTTGTGAAACTTGGGTCCTCACAAGTCAGACGCCTGACGCCGTTAAAGTTCAAATCAAACCAGTGCCTTCTTGTTGGTGGAGGTGGGCATATCGAGATGCGGGGGTTTTAATTTTATTTTTTTGTCAAGTTAGCAAGGTTGCACGCTTTTTGAAGTTTTCAATGCTGATTCTTGAGGCTGTTGGAACGCGCTGCAATGAGGCCTTCAACTGTTTGCAGTTCTTTTGTGGTGCGGTTCAAGTCTTAACAGTGACATATTATGTTAATTATGAACGTACGCCAACCATTTCTAAATGTAGCTTGGATACATAGTGGTGGCAGGAGTTCCGACCGTAGCAGAACGATTGCTGCTGCTGGTGCAGTGCCAAGTGGTGATTTTTTGTGTAACTTTTGTTGTTCAGAACAAGTGCTTGCCAATTTGAGGTGTGGTACCAACTCGTACTACTAATTTGCTAGAAGACCAACGAAGATAAACAATACGTGTGAATTTTACACTTGAAACTTGATACGGGTAAGGAATTCTTTATTAAAAATTTTGAGGGTGATCAGTTCTCCTATTTCTTAGAACTTTCAGGCTTTGCAAATTGATCTAGTGGAGATGGTGCAATTCGTCTCTCTCTCTCTCTCTCTTTCTCTCTCTCTCTCTTTCGAACATCGCACTTTAATAGCAATTTCAGGAACGCCAGTTGAACTTTGCTCGAAGGTTGTGCAACCAGAAACCCGCTGCCTTGAGGCTGCGTTTCACGTCTTGGGTGTTCACACACACACTGACATTGGTTTGCAGTTAACTCAGTTCCCACGCTGAGAAGGAAGGTGAGGTAACAGAAAGGTGCATGAGTCCGCAAAAACAGTATTGTTGAACATCATGTTGCAAGACACTCGCAAGCGGTCAGCGCGCGGCAGCTGAAAGCGGCTGAGGGAAATGGTTTGGGGGGAGTATATATCATGAACCACCATGAAGCAAAAAGGCAGAAAGTGGAACGGCTTGATCAACTGTTTCAGTAGCAGGTACGTCGAAAGAGCGTCCTCTTTCGATATCCTAGTCTGAACCTGGAGCTTCGTTGGCTCACGCCAGGAACAGACCCGTGAGCCCCCTGCTGAAAACGAAGTTCGAAACCAAAACGAGAAGTGGAACCCTTAGGTACAGGGGTTGACACACACAAGCAGCCGATTCCGGCGCGAGTGTGTGAACGGTGAAGGTGGCACTCGTTTTTTCTCAAACAAAGCCGGCATTCGGTGGGATCATGTCCTTTTTGGACGTACAGCCGGATTAGCTCTTCAGCAGCTGCCGATGCGGTAGCGGGTGGAAAGGAGTAGGTGTAAATGGCATGTAATCTGGAAGCTAAGCCGGAGAGAGGCAAGCGCTGGCTACCGGCGCTGGTGGAGTCTCTGATTTTCCAGGGCTGGGTGGGCTGGATGTAGGTGATAGTGCGTTGGGTGAGGTCGATGTTGAAGCCCAAGAGGTGCATGTCTTCAACGGTTTCTAATTCGACTGGATCGCCGAAGAAGTTGTGGTGGATCAGGGTTTGTATTGCTGGATGCTGAATGAAGTGTTCGTTGTGTACTATGAATCGGTTGTCCACGTATCTGTAGAATGTGAAGTGAAGGGCGGTGTGCTGGAGGAGGTTGTCATGGAGTTGGTGCCAAGAATGCTCGATGAGGGTGATGGCAACGTTGCATAGGGCGGGAGAGAGTTGGGCCCAGCTCCTCGAATTTGCTTGTATGCCCGGAAAATGCAGGTGTTGAGCGCAATTGCCACAATGGTCGTGATGTCGGATGTATGGATCGTGCGTTGTGTGGGGTGTTTGATATAACGCCTGCCAACATGGGAACGGTGGAAAGGGTTGCCTGTGGCCTTGGTGTCCACTGTCAAAGTATGTGTGGCCTGCTGAGATTGCCATTGTTGGATCAAAGAGTGAACTGCGTCAATAAGGCGGTGTTGTGGGACGGAGTTGAAAAAACCGACGAGGTCGTCATTGGTGGCGTGGAGGTTGACATCGGTGGGTGTTTGGGTGAGGTAGGAATGAAAATGGTGCCAGAGTTGTGGGATGGATAGTTGTCCTGGATGTTGTGGAAAAATGTGTTGGAGTACAATGTCAAGTGCTCTGCTAGTAATGCGGAGAAGATTGCCGCTCAAGGATTGAAAGTATGAGATAATGGTGCGGCCTTTCTGCCATTGCTTCTTAGCTTTCAGGTGCACAACTCCGTAGGTATGGTGAAGTGTTGGTGGAAGCCCCATTTGTAGCGAGCGCGCAGGGTGGGGGGGATGGTGGCAGAAAGGTGGTCGTGGATGTTGGATGCGGTGAGGTGTGGTAGAGGTTCGAAAAGCTCTGGGGCCTGCCAGGTGTTGAGATCTCCAGTAAAATATTGGCGAGGGCAGAACACGCGGAGCTGCTGTAATTCGTGGTCGGCGTGGTGGAGCACGACCTTGTCGCCCAGGTATTGCTGAAGATGTCTGATGAGACGAGCTGTGAAGCGTGGATGTTGCTTGAGCTGTGCGGTGTGAAGGCGCCATTGGTGTTGAAGGAAAGGCTCAAGGTGTTGGCTGAGCGATGTGGGAAGGCCTTGGAGACGAAGCCATTTGGTGAATGCTGTCTGGAAAATGAGGAAGTAGCGTGCTTTGCTGGGGTAAAACGTACTGTTCATGTTGGCATCCAGGAAAATGCGGCGGTGTGCTGGGAGTGCCAACTGATCTAAGGTGAGAATGTAATGGCCGTTGATGGGAGGTGTGGATGGCTCTGAGATGTGGACAAGCACACGGTAGGTCGCAAGGGTCTGGAGGTGTGTGTAGCGTGTCCTCCCAAGCGCGGTGGTTGTGGAGCTGTGCTCTGAGTGTCTTGTGGGCGGCTTCGCGTAGCCGGTGTGTGGGGAGGTGCAGTGGGATAGCCAAATGCTTGTGTTGTTGGATGGTAGTTTGGAGCCATTGCTGACAGTGTTTGGTGAAGTCGCTATGGGCCAGAAAAGGTACTGTAAGTGGAATGTTTGGCTTTGGTAGGGTCAGGTTGCGGTATTGAAGAGCTTTGTTGATGATGTGTAAGGCCCGACTGCGACCAGGTTCTTCCAGGTTCGAAGCCATCCGATGAATGGCGTAAACCTCAAGGTCTGTCTGTATGGGTGCCACTGCGTAGTTGCTTGGCCGCTTCAAAAGAAGCTTTTGGAGGTTACGGAGAAGGGTGAGGGCGTGATGCTTTGTTGAGGTAAAGAGGTGTGGCTCCCCGATCGTCTGCTGTCTGCGGCGCAAGCGGCGGAAGAGTCTTTTGTGGGTGGCAAGGCGTGAATAGAAGCGTGCTCGATGTTTTGTGAATTGCCAGCCCTGAGCCTTGAGTTTAAGGTGTTGGGAGATGAAGGGCCAGTTGAGGGACGGCATCCAGTTGGAGATGAAATGGTGTTCACGGATCCAGGCCTGGTCATAGTTGTCGTGGGATGAGAGCTGAATGGTGGTGTAGTGATGTATGTTGTCATGAGAGTGCCAGTAGCGTAGTGAGAGTTCTGCTGAGACTGGGATGTTGTTTTGGATTTGCTTGAGCTTGGCTCGTCGATTGTGTTCTCTGTGTGGAATGCCAATGGCTGTGGAGCCGACATAGAAGTGGCCATGCTGGTGGTAGCAGCGGTGAGGCACAGTGTTGTTGAAGTGGAGTTTGACGTAGACGGAATGTGATGAGAGGAAGTTGTGGTAGTGATAGTTGTGTGGTAGGACGTGAAGTTGGCTGAAGCTTTGGCGCCACTGCTTCGATTGTTGAGTGGAAGATGGATAGCAAAAGAGAAGAGTGAGGTGAATAAGGCCCGCAGCAAAGATAGCTTCGGCGTGTTCAATGTATTGGGTTTTGCGTATGAGGGTGGAGAGGGCTCGGTGGAGGTCAAAGAGTTGCTTGAGGTGAGTAGGGTTCGGCAGTTGCTGGCTGTGGATGGAGAGTCAGCAGGCGAGAGCTGCTCCTACGCTGACAATGTGTTGCAGGCTCTTGATAGTCAGCTTGTTGACGCGGCCCAGCGGCAATCCGTAGCGGGTGGCTGCTTCCTTGAGCTGCTCAATGGAAACTTTGTTGGTTTGCAAGATGCGCAGCACTTCTGTTGCAGCTTCTTGAATGGCGGGGTCAAATGTGCGCACCCAGGTCGCCGGGGCTGTCCATGAATCAGGGACGTCGTCTTTGAGGGAAGGGTGTGGAGGTTGCAGGACGTCGGCCAATACTGGTGGCTTGTGGGCTGGTGGGTCCTCTGGGGCGGCCGGGGCACTGGGCCAGAAGAGCGGCCAGCTTCTTTGCGGGGTGTGAGTTCCATGCCGTGGGCTTGTAGCTTTTCCTTGGCACGGGCCAAGTCATCGGAGGCGGCTTTCAAGGCGCGAAGGGCGGAACCTTCAGCGGCGGCTGGGGCATGGGCTTTGAGCTGCTGGATAAGGAGTGAGATCAGGGCAGCGTGGAAGGCTCGGGCTTGTGTAGTTTTGTTTGGAATGTCGCGGGCTTGTGAAATGTGTAGGGCTTCAGCAATGGCGTCCAGTCCAGGTCAAGTCTGTTTTCCCGGATCTCCTGAAGCAGGTGGGTGGTAAAGACTGATTCGGCTATACTGCGAGTTGGGATTAAACCGCAGTACTTCCCGTGGCTAAGCGTCCTGGCCGTAAAATCTGCAGTGCCGTGGTAGGCCAGGAGCCAATTCGAATGTTGGAAGGCTTGAAATGCCCACCCGACGTGACCACTGTGAGGGTTGTATGGTGCGGTGGAGTTGGTGACCGTGGACTGAGTTGGAGTCCCAATGGTGTCTGTGGGATGCCAGGATTCCTGGATGGTTGGCTGGGGAAAGGGCACCGTGGCAGGCGGTACAGGTGGAGCTGGGCGGGTGGGGCTGTTTTTGAAACTGGTCCGCGTTGGAGTGGGCGGGGCGGTGGTTGGGAGTGGAGGCGGAGGCGGCGGTGGGAACTCGTGTGTTGTGGCGGGAGAATGGGTCTGTGTCTGCTGTGAGAGAGGAGGTGAAGGGGAGGGAGTGTAAGGATGGGAGTGGTGTGCTTGCTGAGTGCGGACCGCGTGGGTCATGGGGCCATATGTACCCGTGGGGGTGTATGGATGACTGGCAAGGCCGGTGTGGGCCGTCGGCTGCTGTTGCTGTTGCAGCAAATAGTGTTGCCAATAATACTGTTGCCAGAGCGTGTCCATGCTGTCGAGCGAAAGTGAGTACAGGGGCGAGAGCTGTTTGTCTGAGCAAGAAAGCTAGGCAGGCGTGGAAATGAGAACGCAAACGAAAAGGCTGCGTAACATGCGACATGATCCCCTATGAGAAGATTGCGAGAGACTGGAACATCGGTGAAAAGCTTACAAAATGGACATACTATAGGTGCAGTCATGATAATCGCTCCGGCGTGCCAGCTGCA